AAAAAAAAAAAACCTTCCAAAATCAAGGGCTGGGGTTATAACTCAGTGGTACAGCACTTACCTGGCAAGCACAAGCTTCCAAGTTTGATTCCTAGTACCCCCCAAAAAAAAGTTAAAAAGAAAGAAAAACAAAAATCAATGAGAAATAAAAAGTAATCGATATGGAAAGGATTTGGCCTTTTATATCTCATGCCTCAGAAGGAGTCTATAGTAGGAGGACTTGAAGGTTGGCTGAGGCATAGGCAGAGGACTCATCTCTTCTATATTTGGCAAGCAGGCACATAGATTTTACTCAAATTTTAGGCTTGTTTGGGGTGGCTTGGAGAAAATTTGGAGGAAAATCAACTTTCCTCTTTTGCACTATCACTGCTGATTATTGATCTCCTCGAATGGCTCTGGAGCTGGGGCCTGAGCCAGTCCTAGAGTCCTGCTAGAGGGCAGAGAGAGCTGGAGGCCCGGGACATTGGTGGCAGAAGAGCTGCGGGCTGTTACTGCTGCTCCCATCTGAAGTGAAGGATGACTTTTGTGGAACCAACCTGAGACCCCCCAGCAGCTAACCGCTGTGCCCTGGCTTCTTTCCTCCAGCCCCGAAACCACTTCTCCATTATAACCCAAACCCTGCTGTGCTGTAGGAGGCTCAGGCCTCTCACCTTCACTGTGAGCTGCTAGATGGCAGGGCCCTGCTTTGGTGCAGCTATGGGGCACCTGCAGAGGACAATTAGGGCTCAGCCAGTGGCTGGGGAAGAAATGATGTGAGATGTAGCTCATGAGCTTGGATCACCAGCCCCACCCGGAGTGTCCGTCCTGATAAGCCCACAGAGTATGACTGAAAGCTCCACTTTTGTACATCGAGGCTGGTCTGGCTGGCAGTGCTCCTGCCCAGCCTCTTCTGCCGTTTGAAGTCAACACTGACCACAGGGTTGTAAATCCTGCCCCTGCCACAAACGCCGGATGTGTATGCCACTGGTGCCTGCAACTGGGCCACTCTCGGGCACGGAGTCCAAGCTAAGGCATGCTCTCCTCCTGGGTTCTTATCACATTTCTACATCTGTAGAGGTAGGAAGAATAAGGAGACAATTGTCCTGGGGCTACCCATCCTCCATGACTTTTGCTGATCTTTGATGGAAATCTGCTGCCTTGATTAGAAAGGACCAGGAAATGGGGTAGTCCCAGAAGGGAAGAGGCATCCCTTCATTTGTCATCAAAGAGAAAAGGAAGCTCCAAGGCCAGAAAACAATGACTGCGGACACAGGAAAAAAGAAACAGTGAGGTCTAGACTACAAATACAGATAAGTCCATGCACAGTGTTAGGAGCAAGCAGAGGCCACGGGGAAAGCAGTTTGGCCACAAGGGGGCAGCAGTCCCCAGACAGTGAGCCACCTGCGTACTACTCATTGGGAAAGATGACGGGCAAGCGCAGTCAGGTCCGAAAACCAGTTTTTTACATTTTTCTTTCTGAATAGTTCCCTTCTGCTTTTCCTAACCTCTTGGTCAAATTAGTTCATAACCTCCCCTCCAGCAACAAATCACACGGACTCGGGAAAGGTCTTGTCTGTTCTACCCTGGAGCCCAGGAGTAAGGAGAAAGCAGCCCATTTGGATGAGCACCGGGGTGACAACAGGGAGGCTGGATCTGGAGGACAAGGGCAGAAGAGCATCTGTGGTAGGAACGAACATGTCACTGGAGAAAGCGGGGAGATAGAATAGACTGCTCCCGTTGGAAAGGCTCCAGCCGTCAGCACCCCCACCCCCCAAACGCACCTTCTGCACTTTATTCTCACAACTGCTCCTCTAACTCCGAGCTGTTGTGTTCCTCGTTCCCCGAGCTAAGAGAACACCCCGTGCTGACTGTGACAGGTGCTGCGCGGATGCAGTCATCTGGCAAAGTGCGGGGGCACTTTGTGGGGTGCTGTTCTCGCCGCTCTGGTTCCCCCCTAGGTGGCTTCCATCGGATCAGCGCCATATGCAGTAAATGCACCTTCCGTGGCCCTGTGTCAGCTGCGAGGCCCACGTAAGCATCCCCTTGCATCCCTCCTGAAGAGTCCACTTGGCTCTGCAGATCACAGTGGAGGAAAGGGAGGTAGAAAAGGGTTTGTCCCCTCTCCCTATGGCATCCTCATCACCACAGCGACAGCTTCAGAGGGGGCATATGCAATCTAAGGCAAGTCAAGCAGAGCAAAGGTCGGGATGTCAGTTCAGTACCTGCAAAAAAGCCTATTTATTATCTTGTGGCATCTGGCCACCATTCTGCCACCAGGAATGGCAACACCAGTGCAAAGGTGAACAGCAACAAATGCAGAGGGCAGAGCCTAGAGAATGAGAGAAGCAGCCAAGTCCTGACCAAATCGTGCCCAGCCTCTCTCTGTACTTTAAAATGACACAAACCAGTAAATTCTCTTTATTACCAAGACTAGTTCAAGCTGAGTTGAACCTGCAGCCAATATGACTTCCCACTGAAAGCTCTAGAAACCAGAAGTCATAGCAGATGAGAAGGGAAGGGGTTGGTGAGTCAGACATGGCTGCTGCCTCTTTGTGGCTGGGGGTAACTGTGACGAGAGGATAGAGCACAAGTTGGCAGAGGGCAATCCTCCCAGTCCTGATAGCCGAGCTCCAGGGGAAGATAGAGAAGAACCTTTAACAGTTGGCCCTTGAGGATCCAATTGAGAGATTCCCTTCCCGAAGAGATTCAGAAATGTTCACAGAGGACCCAGAAATCTCTCTTGGGAGCCAGATAGGCTGTGATTCAAACGCCAGCTGTACTTGATTAGTCTTTTTTTTTTATTAGTCTTGATGTTAATTACCCCAATTTGATCAGTACATATTGTACACAAGTGTGTATTAAAATATCGCACCCGGCAGCATCAATGAGCACAATCATTATGGGAGGATTGAAAAGACCTCATGTTTAAAGAGAGAGAAATGTTGACTAATCTGATCTCCCTCACGCACCACACTGTATACATTCATTCAATTATGACACGTTACCCAACGAATGTGCGCTCCTAAGATGAAAAATAAAGCAGGGCCTTATTCACTGAATCACCATAAGAATCAGTGAGCTAATACATGTTAAGATCTTCACAGATACTAAATGTTCAGTCACTTTTAACTCTCTTATACAAACCTCCTCCCAATGGGCTGGTGGGGAAATAAGTGCCCAGAATATTTTAAAATGCAGATTCTTTAAATCTGCAGTTCCACTGCATGTGAGGAGAGGAGGCAAAGGAAGAAGGGAGAAGGGGAGAGGAGGAGGAAGGGAAGGAACGGGTAAAAGTTTATCACAGTTGATTGTAACAATAAAACAGCAATCATTTCAATGTTCTTCAAAAGCATTTATAGTGTCCTTGTAACACAGGTTAGCTGGTGGGTGTGATAGCACACACTTATAAGCTTAGCATCTGGGAGGCTGAGGCTGGCACACTGCTGCGAGTGTGAAGTGAGCCTGGGCTACAAAGTGAGTCCAGGGCCAGTTGGAAAGATGTAGCGAGACTGTCTCAAAAAAGCTAAAGGGAAAAATTCACATGAATGAGAGCATGTGATACTTCCTTAGTTTCATCCAATGTGTCACCTATGACAGGATTTCGTTCCTCTTGTGGCAGTGGAATTCTTTGGTATATATGTACCACATTTACCCATTCATCTATTGATGGATACTTAGATTGTTTCCATTTTGGGGGTATTGTGAATAGTGCTGTGATGAATGTGGGCATGCAGACATCCCTCGGACAGGGATTTCATTTCCTTTGAATACATATACCCAGTAGTGGAATTGCAGGATCACACGATAGTTTCATTTTTAATTTTGGGGAAAATCTCTATGCTGCTTCGCATAATGACTGCACTAATTTACCTTCCTGCCGACAGTGTACGAAGGTTCCCTTTTCTCTGCATCCTCAATAACACACATTATGTCTCATCTTTTTGCTAACAGTTGTTCTAACTGGAGTGAAGTAATAGCTCATTGTGGTTTTGATTTGCATTTCTAAAACCATTGGTGATATGGAGCACCTTTTTCATATGCCTATCTGCCATTTGTATGCTTTCTTTTAAGAAATGTCTATTTAGGTGTATTGTCCATTTTCAACTGGGCTATTCAGGATTTTTTTTTTTTAATTGCAGATTTAGTCTAGATATCAGTCCTGTCTCATTTACTCTTCTCTCATTGCTGGAACAAAATACCCGAACCCAAAATTAAAGAAGGAAGGTTTATTTAGCTCAGAGTTTGTGGAGCTTTCAGTCCATGCTCAGCTGGCTCCAGGGAAGGGTCGCACAAGGCAGAGGGCAGCAGTTCATGGTGGGGGGAAAACAGCAAAACAGCAAGAGCAT